CAATTGATTTCCACTTCATGGTGACAATCAAGTCCCTTCATGGTGACAATCATTGGGTATATACTTCTTGTTTCAGAGATGTTAAATTTAATAAGATCATGTGTACATGTGTGTCTGTGTTATAGGGAGTAAGAGGTGAAGGAGATGTTTTAAACTTGATTAGTAATGAAAAAATTTCATGAAAATTAAAATCAGTACAGTTTTTTTTTCAAAATATGTACTTACAGCAGTGATATGCTACAGATGGCTTATACTAAGTCATGAAAGTTGGCTTGTACTGCTGGTAGGATTATTAAATTTCCAAGAATTTTGTGTTCTGGTTAAATATATCCATTATTAAAAATTAATAATAAACTTACAAATTAATAATATACTTACAAATATATTTAAGAAAAGTAATAGATTCAAAATCTATTACCTCCTAATTATTTTACTATGTTTTGCTGTTCTCTATGCTCTTGGGTTTATTTGCATGTATCTGTATATAGGAGAGACTATATAATAGTGTTCTCCTGTGCATCTCTGTCCAAGTCGGCATTTGGGACATCAGGTTGATAGCTTGAATCCACCTTGGGGCTGTTGACACTTCACAAATAGACAAGCACTGCAATTATGTACCCAGCTCCAGACTTCAAAAGGCCGTCATCAGAGTGACTGTTATGTATAAATAAGACAAGTCTTGCAGAGACGATGGAGAAATGAGAACCCTTGTACCCTGTGGGTAGAAATGTAAATTGACATAGCCATTATGGAAAAGGCTATGGAAGTTCCACAAAAAATGAAAATTAGAACTACACTATGATCTAATAATCCCACTTCTGTATTCATAACTAAAGGAAATAAAATCAGTACCCCGAAGAGATATCTGCACTCCAGTGTTCATTGTAGCATTATTCACAGTAGCCAAGATACGGAAACAACCTAAGTGTCTGTCAATGACGAATACGTAAAGAAAATATGGCGTATTTACACAGCGGAGTATTAGGCTATAAAAAGAAGGAAATCTAGTTATTTACAACAACATGGGTGAAGCTAGAGGGCATTATGTTAAGGGAAATAAGCTGGATACAGCAAGACATACTGTCTGATCTCACACATGTAATCTAAAAAAGTTCAACTCGTAGAAGCAGAGAGTAGAATGGAGGTTGTGAGGGGCTGAGGATTTTGGGAATGGGAGACGTTGGTCAGAGGGTACAAAGTTTGAACTATGTAGGATGAGTAAGTTCTGAGACCTAATGTACAGCATGCTGACTATAGTTATTACTGTATTGTGTACTTAAAATTTACTAAAAGTAAAGCTTAAATGTTCTTGCTGTGCATACACACATACACCCAAAATAGTATCTTTGTGAGGTGATGGATATGTTAATTAGCTTGATCCCAATGATCACTTTACACCTGTGTATATATGCAAACATCAAGCTGTATACCTGAAGTATGTAGAATTTTAAATTTTCAATTATACCTCAATAAAGCTGGGAAAATAAGGCAGTTATTAAATGTTTACCGGCATATCACTTACTCACATGGAAGGCCTACCCTCTTTTTGTTTCAAAGGATAGAATCACAACCTCATTAACATTCATTTTTTTTAGTCCAAATTTGTCTCTTCTTACCTTGTTGGACTTGAGTGAAGCAGATGGCAAATCTGTGAACCAATTAATCACTGCTCTTGAAGTTATATTTTGTGTGTAAGAGAGATAATGTAGGACACAGATGAGACTAACAGTTCCCAAATTAGCCACATACATACAGAATTTACCTTGCTAAAGCCACGGCAGTGGAGAGAGCAAGTGAACCCAGCATAAAGCGGGCATAAATAAGCTTGTTTATTGCCTTGTCAGTTGTGAAACTCCTTGTAAAGACATGGAACAAATGAATATTCATCATGGATAAATATTCATTCAATGATTGAGCTGGTGCTTTGTCATGATAAGAGCAAGTTAGGAGTCCATCAATAAATTAGCATTTGAGGGATAAATAGTTATCTCTAACAATTCATTGAATACATGTTATAATGGCTCCAAAGTGCAGTACATGAGAGCAAACCTATGGTGATACTAAGATGTTTTTAGATATATTACAGCTAAGTGTCATGTATTATTTTTATGTTATATATACTAAACTCTTTGTCATTTTTACTTCACATTTATTGCACTGTAATAGTTTTTTTTTTCATTGAGGAAACGTAGAAGGCTAAGTGAGCTTAGAGTCTTGATGGACAATTATATATAAAATAAATGTGAAGAAAGGATAAAACGATATTTAAGAAGAAAAAGTATCTTTGTAAAAGATTGTAAGTAGATGAGAATTTTTATTTTTTTTACAGAATTAATATTTAGTTGGTTCTGCATGAAATTTCTGTGTAGACGTTTATCTAACTAGATCAGAGACTGGCATTTGGGTCTGGGGGTAAATATTTCAGGCTTTGCAGGTCATAGAGTGTCTGCTGCAGTGTTGCTGGGCACAAGCAACCAGAGACAATGTGTAAATGGAGTGGCTGTGTTCCCATGAACTCAAAGGGCTGTAATGAGCCACGCCTGATCTGTAGCAGTAGAGATTTGGTCATCACTCCAGTTAATGATCTGAAAACAAAAATTATCCTTTAGCACCTGAACTGTTTTATTAGGAGTTTTATTTTGACTGTATTATTTGGGAAATCCTTGGACTTCATGGTGTTGGCACTATGGAAATCAACTGTGGTAAAGATACAAGGGTGCCTCTTCACTGTCAGATGGGGACTGAGATAATTATCAAGATACTTTAAACTCCAAAATACTTCCTCAATTATCTGCATGTACTATGTGAAAATATTGTATATCTGTTTATGCTCTACCTGTTAATGTAGTTTTCATATTTAGAAGCATAATGTCAAGTCAAGTGTTTTAGTTGTAAGGTAACTATCAGATTTCTTGGATAGGAAATTTAACTGCATTGGCTTAAGGACCTTTCTAAGTATGAAAGTCTAACAGAAAGTGAGATAAAAGTTTGGAAACTGAAGCCAACATAATTAACCCATCACAGGACATATAGTTCCCATGTGGAACTGTACTAAGAACAAGCCAACATAACTTATCCACTAACTCCTGGACGATCATGGTGTGAATCAAATAGCTTATTTATTAAGAGTGATGGTTAATTTTATGGATGAACTTCACTGAACCACGGGATTCCCAGATATTTTTTTCAAGCAATATTCTTGGTGTTTCTATGAGACTTGTTTGAGGACATTAACATTTAAATTGGCAGACAGAGTAAAGTAGATTGCCCTCTGTAATATAGGTGGGTCTAATCCAGTAAGTTGAAGGCAGGAATAGAATAATAGGCTGTCCCTCCCAAGAGTAAGAATTTTTTCTGCCTGGAGGCCTTCACATTAGGACAACTATTAGTTTTCCAGACTTCAGACTCAACTGAATTGCTTACTCCTCTTGGGTCTCGTGTGCTGGCCTTAACTGGAACCATTCAGTACTCAGACTGGAACTAAACCATTAGCTCTTCTGGGTCTCCAGCTTGCTGACTAGCCTTATGGATCTCAGGACCTGCTAGCCTCCATAATTTAATCCTTATAATAAATTTACTATATAATATTTATGTATTTAGATATATGTTAATCTTATACTATTATATAATAAATTTATAATATGTAATACATATTTTATATTATGTATATTTATATTATTATACACACATCAACACGTGTTTCAAGACTTGCCATCCTGCACCCACTACCTCAAAGATATTACATCATAAACTCTGCCCAATTCTGACAAATTCCCTGCTTTGCAAGACTCACCTTAAAATCACCCAGGCCAGGCATAAACTCTATAAATATACTCCTCCATAAACTTCCCCGTCTGGACAATGCATTAATCTATGAAAATAGTATTCTCCCTTAATGCAATAGGTCTACTAAAGATAGCTTTGTTCAAAGCTGGTTTTTCTGGTGGCCTTGGGGGGCCAATGGTTTCAATGTAGCAAGTTCATTTGTCTGAATTTTACCACACATTTATTATTATTCAACAAATATTTACCAGGCATTGTGCTTGATGTCTGGGGTTACATGCATTATTAACAAGAAAGACATAGACTTCACGTTTGTGTCCTAGCAGAGCTTAGATCCTGGATATTCCTTTTACTGCAAGGATTCTAGGTAGAAAAAAATGGTTTTCCAACTAGTCCAAAGGTAGTTGACACAGGTAGTTGACAGTTGCTCTTGAAATTTTTTTCTATGGGAACTTGTAAGTGAATAGTGATGTACTGATGCATAATAGCACCTGCTTGTCATATGTTAAGAATGTACTGAAACCATTTCTGAGTTCAGTTCTCTTAGGCTATTTCTTTTTTTTGTCTTTTTCTTTTTTTTAATTTTATTGCATTTTAGGTTTTGGGGTACATGTGAAGAACATGCAAGATTGTTGCATAGGTACACGTGGCAGTGTGATCTGCCTTCCTCCCCATCACCCACATCTAGCACTTTTCCCCATGCCATCTCTCCCCAACTCCCCTCCCCCCTCTGTCTCTCCCCTATTTCCCCCCAACAGACCCCAGTGTGTAGTGCTCCCCTCCCTGTGTCCATGTGTTCTCATTGTTCAACACCCGCCTATGAGTGAGAACATGCCGTGTTTGATATTCTGCTCTTCTGTCAGTTTGCTGAGAACGATAGTTTCCAGGTTCATCCATGTCCCTACAAAGGACACGAACTCATCATTTTTGATGGCTGCATAATATTCCATGGTGTCTGTGTGCCACATTTGCCCTGTCCAGTCTATCATTGATGGGCATTTGGGTTGGTTCCAGGTCTTTGCTATTGTAAACAGTGCTGCAATGAACATTCGTGTGCACGTGTCCTTATAGTAGAACGATTTATAATCCTTTGGATATATACCCAGTAATGGGATTGCTGGGTCAAACGGAATTTCTATTTCTAGGTCCTTGAGGAATCGCCACACTGTCTTCCGCAATGGTTGAACTAATTGATCTTGGGCTTTTTGCACCACTCTCCTCCCCTCCACCTTTTACCATACACCTGCGAGACGGCAGCTGGGATTTACCTCACTCACACGCAGACCTGTTGACTGTGAGTCTGAAGGGAGCCAGTGACCTTCACTAGACTCACAATTAAGATACAGACTGCAACCCTTAGATTTGACTAGATGAAGTAAATTCCACTTCGGCTGTAGTAGATCATGGTTCGTTGGCACTTATTCTTGTGAATGTAGTAAAGATAACACAGAGCTCACATTAAATCAGTGGCATGCTTTTGCTGTTGTTGAGGTAATCCAAAAAGGATTCAATCCTTCACTTCATTAAAAATGAGAAACCAATTTCATAGTTACAGCTTATGGAAAAGAAAGCTGACATTTATAATTATCAGAGTAACTGTTTCCACGCAAATGCCTTTTCCATATTTGTTCACAAAAAGATTCTCAGCAGAGTTGATCTCATCACTCATGCATAGAGAATGATGATGATTATGAAAAGCAGCAGGTGTTGGGGAGGAGAAAGCAACTTACTGACACTCCCAATGTATTTATTAAAGAAAGGTAAGTTAAAAATATATATGTAGCTGTGTTTGAAGTGAGAGGCAAACTGCTGAGAGCAAATTTGTAAAAGCACCTACTGATTTTACACATGTGAATCCAAATCCATAGGTTCATAACTGCCCATGTGCAAATCATTGTGCCTGTATTTGGTCCTACGCAGGGCAAGTAGCCAACTACATAGCTAATTAATGACACAAAGGGACAGTTAGTTGAACATACAGTTATTGTTGGGAGGCCTCTTTTTTTGCACGTAGTTACAGCTCTGGAGACATGACCAGCTTTTTTCTGCAAATGTTTGGCCTCGCTTCTGAAACAGTCGTGCACAAGCAGCTTAGTGCACCTGTGCTAAAAACCAATGGAAGGCATTCCTTTTTAAAGACTCAAACATAACCAAACATCTAGCTTCATTCTCTCAAAATGAGTGTAACTAATTAGAATAGCAAAACGTTACTTTTTATTACGAGACTGTGTTAATGCGGTTGCTTTAGTTTGCCATTATTCCTTAATAAGATACAATAAAATCACCGTAATGCATGTAAACAACTATCCTCTCTGGGATAAAACCGGATTAATGACATATTTTGTGTTTATAGAAACAAACACCATTAAGCAGTCATTCCTCTCAAGAGAATTTTCTTAACCAGGAACCAGGTACTTATTTTAGACGTGAAAGGAAAACACAGTTAATAATATTGAAAGGTTATTAGTGCAATAGGATACTTATCATCCTTGCACAATGGAGAAACAGCTTCATTTAAAAGAGTCATAAAGAAAATCTACATATTTATATGAAACGTGGGACTGTTGGCTTTCTATCTTTCAAGGTTTAGAGGTATTTTTAATTATGAATTCCCTTGTGATTAGGATCTGACAAAGAAGAAAAGTAATCATTTCTAAATGGAAAATCTGAAGTATCCTTTGTTAACAACTACATTTTTGAATAGCAAGATAGAAAACTCAGATGATCAGATGGCATATTTCCAGCTTAATTAACTTTGGCTTAAAAGTCATAGATAGAGTCTTCCCTTAGCATCATCCAGATACACCGCGTGTGCCTCTCTCTGCATTATATCCATGATTGGAATAAGCAGTATTCTTTAAAATGGGCAGGGCAGATGATTTCACGTATGTCTTTGTGTTCTTTTGCTTACACTCTTCTTTCTTCCAAGTGAAAATAATTCCTTTTTATTAAAAGCAGATTTAGAAATCAAGAAGTCATAGCCGAGTGTGTTGGTTTGTTATTGCTCTTGTAACGAACTACCAGAAATTTAATAGCTTAAAACATGATCCCTAACAAACCAATGCAGGAACAGAAAGCCAAATACCGCATGTTCTCACTTCCAAGTGGGCGCTAAGTGATGGTAACACACAGACACGCACAGGGGAACAGCAGACACTCGGGCCTGTTAGAAGGTAGAGGGTGGGGGGAGGGAGAGGTTGAGGACAAATAACTGATGGGTACTATGCTTAGTACCTGGGTGATGAAATAATCTACACAACAGACCCTCATGACACACATTTGTCTATGTAACTTGCACATGTACCCCTGAATTTAAATAAAAGTTCAAAAACCGAAACTTTCTTAATCTCCTATTTCTGAAGGTCAGATGTCTGAATGGGTTTTGCTGGGTTTCCTGGGCTGCATCAGGCAGGGCAGGGTTGCATGCCCTGTGGAGGCTCGAGGGGAGAGCGGCTCCTTTTCCAGCTTCATGAAGTTGCCTGCCGTCCTTGGTGGGCGGCCTTTCCCTCACCTTCAAAGCCAGCGGTGGCATCACTCCGACCTCTGCTTTTGTCACTGCCGCCTCTTCTCTGATGCTGACACGCCTGCCTTGCTCTTGCAGGGATCCTGGTAAAGGTTACCTGTAAATTCAGAATAATCTTGCCTTCTCACGAACCTTAACTGAGTAAGTTAACCTAGTAAGTCCTTTTTGCCACAGGTTTCAGGAATGAAGACCTGGGGATCTTGGGGAATCTCTTATTCTGGCTACCACACTCAGACATGACTTACTTAGTTCCTGGTTGTTCACTTTATTCAAGTACATTTTATCCCTTCTTTTTCTTAGTGCTTTTGTCAGAATATGACATTTATCTTACCTGGGGTCTTAGTGGGTTTCTGGTGAATATATCTGTTCTAACGATGAGTAGTATGATTCTTTCAGTTCTGTGTCTCTCCATTTTCATTATTCATTCATGAGACTGATATTTATTTACTGCCTATTTGGTGCATCCTGCTGGGTAAAAAGAAGTGAATCAGTATTGAGTCACATCAGGATTCTTTAGAGGCGGACTAGTCCTTCTTTTTAAATGACTACAAATTAGCTCTAAGATACAACGCAGGATAAAAAGCCATTGCTCCCTTCCAGTTACTTTGATTTGTGAAGTTACTGAGGTTAACAATGATAAAGGGAAGACAACATAAGTAGATGTTAAAACGTTAGGTTAAGAAAATAAAAATTTACCTCAAACCTGAAAAAAATCCTTATTAAACATCTGCATGTCACCTTTTCAGAACCATCATTGATCTAAAACTCATTTTTTAAATATTAAGTATCTGATGAGAAAATCAAATAAGATAATCCAGTATGAGGTAGAACTGAGACCTTCTGACATCAGTAATTTTCAGTAAAAAAAAAAAGCAATGCTACCTGGAAAGAGGAAGTGTATTTTGCATGCAGCTCAATACAAGACAAACATTTATTTTAACATTTCATGAACTCTATTCGTAACTTTTATACAGTTTTTAATATGCGTTGATATGCTGTATAATGCAATAATGTTTTCTAAAGGACCTAATGAATTTTGCAACGTTCTATGTGTGTGGAATTTAATAAATAGAAATTTATGAGAACCTTGGAATCTTAAAGGTGACTGTTCAGAATAGTTCTGCAGAAATTGAGTTTCAATCAAATGTAAACTGATTGAAGCACCTTCTGTGATAAAACTGTGAAGCTCTGCACTTTCTGTTCCTTTCAAGCATGTAGCTTTGTCTTCTAGTAACTCCACTAAAAGCTTCCAGTTCAATGGATGAACTTCTTCTTTTACTTCACCAAGAAAAGGTCAAATTCCATTTCCCCCTCCAATCACCTCTCACCACTTACAAGCACTGCGATGCCGGGTGAGTTATTGAAAATTCTGTTTTACCTTGAGATGCTGCCGTTAGTGCTTTTAAGGCTTCTAATCAGAGTTGGCACTTTTCTGTCCCTGCTGATTCTTTTACTGCTGAAATCATTTTTCCTTTATTCTGGGTGTTTAAAGTAGTCTCAGAAAGGCTCTCCCTCTGAATCTTCATGTATATTTACATGTTACTGTCTGAGCATATCTTATAATGGGCTGATCTGAAGATTATTTCTAGTTGTTGAAATGGTAAAAATAAGAAATAGCTTGCTATAAAGTAGTGCATGAGGATGTCATTAAAGATACTTACTTAGCACCTAGTTGGCTTAGAGAAAAAAGTGCCGCAAGTATGCAAAGTTATGTTATTAGATAACATGTACATAACATGTCAATGTATGTGTATTTGTGTGCATGTGTTGTGTGTGTATGTAAATAATTGCAGTGTTTGTAAATTGCATTTCAAAATAGCTTCGTTTGAGGGATGGACAAGGAAGATTGAATGAGAGTGCTTATGATTCCACTATTTAAACATTTTGGTTAAACAAATTTCTCTTTTTGCAACATTGGTAACTGTGACATCAATAATGTTAGTTTAGGAGTTTGGTGAGGTTAGCTTAGCATACCAATTTGTAAGGAGTCCTTGCTATTCAAAATAATGGGCAAAAATTAAGTCTATGCAATCTGTTTGTATTAATGCTTTAGTTTTTGTCATGATCACTCAATAGCCTCATGTTTGCTGTCAGAAGATAAGCACATTTTCCAGCATAAAAATATTGCAGTTCTTTCTAAATCAGCTAAACATTACATTAAGTATTTAACAGATGACATATATGGAGCCAGATTTGAAACAACATTTAGCTGCCTTGGATTATAAAATTATGAAGTCATTCTTAATCTAAACCCATTCCTTTATTCATTCTGTATTAGAAAACTCTTCCTATAATGAGCTCCAAATGCTCTCATAGAATTGCAACTATTCTAGGAGACAGGAATAATTTCATGGCTCTGCAGCATTAACTGGATAAAGTTTGCACAGTTTCAATTACAATACAGGCTGAGCTTTCATTTCTGTTGTCTTCCACTTTATATTGACTTCCAACTACATTGGAGAAACAAAGCAGAAATAAATACATGAAAGTAACTGAGACATAGAAAAAAATGTTGATAAGTGGCCTTATGTAGACATTCTGTGAATACCTGCCTGAGATCTGTTCTTAAACTGTCAAGAATGGTAAGTAAACCAGCAATGTTACTATCTCAATACTGAGTTTATTTTGATAAAAACGTACAGTGATAATTTATATAAGCCTCACTGTGACAAGGTTCATATAAACGTATTACTCTGATTCTAATGTAATCTTACAACTGATACTATTTTAAAAAGAAATTCTGCAACATGTGAGTTCAAAGACATGCGGAAATCTGTCCTCTTGTGTCATGGGCTGTGGTTTCCAATGAGACACAGTTATTTAGATGAAACCTGGGGTTATGTGGTCAATTGTAGTTTATTTAATAATGCATATTTAGGAAGTATTTCACAGCACTAAAGGAAGAATAGAATTAAAATCTCAGGATTTTGTTTCTGATCTAGATCTGTCACTAATTGACTTACAAAGTCATGGTATTTGTCTAAGGTTTCATCATTTCTAAATGAAGAGGCTGTATTTAGTTTTATCATAATATTCTTCCAGGCTTTATGTTTTTTGTGGTTTTTGAATAATTCAGGTGCCTATTATCACATGCTTGGCAGTAGCAAATAACAAATTGCCCTGCTTCCAGTTTTCAATTCATCCTGCATGGCACCTTCAGAATACGCATTGCAAATATTTTATCTTGCCGTTTCCTTCTAAAGTTGTTGTTGAATCCTTGATGACTCCAGGAAAATGTTTAAACTTGCCACATTTCCTTATCTGCCAATTTTGCTTTCATTACTGAGTTATCTTATAGACCATCTTCTCTGCCACAGCCAGTTTACTAAAAGGAAAGCAAAGCAAACCAAACAACCAAATAACCAACCAACCAACACAAAAAATAGCTTTTTAGCTTTATACCTTGGTCAGAATGAGTTTTCTCCTTTCTACATATGCAGTCTTATTTCTTCTTCACTTCTGTAGTACTTTGCCTAGCACCTTGATATATAGAAAATGTTTCAATTTCTTCCCAGAATCTAGTCAGTAATTTTTTGAGTGCATAGCACTTGTAATCTGTATTGTTCTCTTGACATGTCTTATGAAGACTCTTCTATTCTTGGTGTAGGCTGTAATCTGACACTCATATATTTGTGGTTTATAGTACTCCATATTAGTGATTTCATTTTCTGCGATTTCATTTACATGCAGGATAGTACACTAAAATACTGTGTGAGACACACACAGGAAACATTCACATAATTTTATTGTAGTGTGTTATAATTGTTGAATTTTATTGTTAATCTTACTATGCCTAATTTGTAAATTTAACTTTGTCATCCATGGCTATGTACATAGAGGAAAAAATATCACGTACATAGGTTTTGGTGCTGTTTGTGGTTTCTGATCTTCACTGGAGGGTGTTGGAACATACCCCTCAGTTATAAAGAGTGGGCTACTGTACTTGTTCATATGCTCCCTCTTTTACTCCTCAACTAGAATGTAGGCGTTTTGAGGAAGGACAATATATGTAGTACCTCTTTGTTTTATTCCTGGCTCATGCACAGTGTTTTGACAAAAAAAAAAAAATTCAGTAAATATTTGTTGAAATGATCTACATCTTAGAACTGTTTTGTTGTCATAGAATTAATCTATTTTTTGATGCAAAATATAAAGTTGAATGAAATTCAAGCACAATGTTATTTTTTTTCTAGCAAGGTACTGTGAAGTAAAAAGATGTGGCTATAAAAATGCTCATAAGAATTTACATGTGAGACTTGTGATTAATAATTGAATACTGTTATTTCATTGGGTTCTTATTTGGGATTTTATCCATCAGATTATTATTAACTATATAACAAGCACTGTGTTTACTTTGATGTAACCCAAGTAAAACTGGCTCCTCTGGCTTTTTCTTTAGGGCCCATTTAGCACAGCATCGTATCTAAAATGAACAAAATTTATACGAAGCACTGAAA